TATATATATATATATGAATATTATAATAAAAATATCTATAATGATTCAAAAAAAAAACAATCAAATAAGGAGAAAGAGAAGCAATTCTTCTCTCTGCGCAAATATTACTGAATTTCATAAACATGATAGCTCCCACAACAATTAAACCCTAAATGGAGGCCAAAAGCAAGGAAGAAAGGCCAAGGAAGACACATTTCTCAAAAGCTTCATCAAAACAGAAACCAACCAAAAGAGAAAGTGACGAACACCCTCGATTCAGATTAAACGCAAAAAATCAAGACAAAAAAGAGAAATCCAAAAACTCAAAATCAAAACCCATGAAATCCTCCTCCTCCTCCTCCTCCTCCCCCTCCTCCTACTAAATTCTAATACTGAAAGAATTGAACCACCCTTCTCAATCCCTAACACCAATCCAGCCTAAAAATCAAAATGCGAGCTCCCGAAACCAAATTCCAATCTCCCAAATCAGTGAAATAAAAAAAATCTTCAAAATGTCCGAGCATGATTGAGAACCTAGTGAAGGAGAGATGCTTGTGCGCTCACCTTAAGAAGAGAGCTACGAGATCTGGGGATCGGGCTTCAGCTCTTCCCCTTCTTCCCGACAAACGAAGAAGAAGAGGAATGAGAGGCGGAGATCGAAGATGCCAGAAGGCGAAGAAAGGTAGAGAGAGAAAATGAGAGAGGCGATTATTTTCTATATTTTTTTTTGTTAAAATTATTGACAATTCTTAACTTCTATTGTTCGTCAATTTCTTTCTGGCTATAGAAAGCGGTTGGGACTCTCCGCCGTAACAGCCAGTTCAGCCTTGCGCTATACTTTGTGACGGAGGCTAACGGCGTTTTGAAACTGTCATTTGATAATATGCTAAGGAATAGTTTAATTCCATTCTTGGTCCTTATCTTTCTAAGTAGGGTGTAAACGAGCAGAACACGACTCGTTAAAAAATATCATTGTTCGTATTCGGCTAGTTTATATTTCAAATAGAAAAAGTATGTTCATGTTCGATTCGTTTGCTTAGCGAGCCGAACACGAGCTGTTTGCGAACAAAGAGTCATTTTGACAACCCAAGTCATGCAATCGTAGGATGTTAAGGGTTGGTAAAAAGATTTAAATCTTATTATTGATATTAAAACATCATTCAAATATAATTTAATATATTTTTATTCTATTTCTTAATTAATAATACATATATATATATAGTATTTTGAGCCAAAATGAGCGAACATGAAAAAACAAATATTTGTTCGTGTTCGGCTTGTTTGTATATCGAGCGCAAAAAAAGTGTTCGTGTTCGGTTCATTAACTTTGTGAATGAATCGAACACAAGCTTCTTAACGAGTCGAACACAAGCTTCTTAACGAGTTGTTTGAGAACAACGAGCCGTTTTGACAGCCGTAATAAAAAATGTCGAGGCTCTTTTTTTAAGGATAATTACATGGAGGCCACGCGAAACATTGATATTTACAAACTAAACATTGAAATGATTTTTTTTTAACTATCAAACTATTTCTGTGTGGCACTGCGAAAGTAGAAATTATTGCATCAGGTGTCTAACAACAGGGAGTCACGTGAAAATTTGGGCCCACTGACATACACAGTTCGGGTTCGGATTCGGGTTGCCACGTGGCTCCTTGTCATTTGACACTTGATACAAATTTGAATCAGGTGTACTGATGCATAATGTTTCATGCCAAAGCATTGAGAATTTGATAAGAATGGAAAATATGAGTTGGAGTTTTACCATGAAATTTGATATTTGAGTGAATTTGAAAAATGGATAAAAGAGGGCGGTTGATATGTAAAATAAAAAGTTTCATGTGATATGTATGTAATTTTCCCCTTTTTTGAGGAGCAATTAGAGATAGGTTTATCCATTTTTCAACTGCCCACTTAAAATCATTATTCTCGATAAAATATCACTACATATTTTTCATTTTTATCAAATTCCTAATTAGGGGTGTAAACGAGCCGAACACGAGTCGTGTTCGGCTCGTTTATATTTCGAGCTCAAAAAGTGTGTTCGTGTTCGGCGAGCTGGTCAGCAAACGAGCCGAACACGAGCTGGTCACGAACAAAGAGTCCTTTGAGCAACCCCAATCATGGAGTCATAAGACAATAAAATATCAATGCTTATGATGCTTAATTTGTTAATATCTCTTCAACCAGTCCTTACTCATAAAAAGTTATCTTCTAAGTTTATTGAGTACAAACTCTTACATGAGATCATACATGACCAATCATTGAACTACAAGTAATTTAAAGCATTGATTTCTTATAGTGTAGGTGTTATTCTTAATGAAAATATCACTACAAGTAATTTAAAGCATTGATTCTTGTAAAAATTGATCTTAATTTATTAGAACTGAATGAAAATATGACACTAAATAGGACACGATGGAGGAAAAGGATTCGTGTAGCCGACCTCACGCAGTGGGATTAATGCTTTGTTGTTGTTGTTGTTGTTGATGATTCTTATAGTGTAGGTGTTATTCTTATATTCTCAATATCATAAATTATTACTTTTAGTTTGAAATTACATAAATAATCAAAAAACCTAACTCATTTTAGTTTTGATGTGTGTAGAAATGTTCACGGCGATGAATTAATGAATTATTAGTGACGTACAAAAACTTAGCACATAGAGAAAATAACAAAAAAAGAAATAAGCAGAGGAAGACACCTCAATTTTTACGTGAAAAATTCTAGAAGGGGGAAAAAATTACAAGGCTTAGTCCAATTGAAATAATCCACTATGAATGGTGAGTACAAAAGTCACTATTCTCCTGAATTAGAAAAGATGGAGTTACAAAGTTGATCATTATAAGTGTACAAAAGTAGTTCGTCGATAATAACCAGTCTCTTTGTAAATAATAAAAATTAATTTTAAAATTAGCTCACAAACTCATAAGCAAGATGTGCAATGAGCATGTTGGCGCTTGAACTGTGATATGATGGTTGAGAGAGTTCCAGAGCATCACTTTGATCATCTTCATCCATTGAATCAGAATGTGTTGCTGTGGAATGTGAAATTGATCTACCACTTTCCCCCTACTTGACAAACCTCAAGAAACAACATGTTTGTTTACGCTTAAGCGTTCTATTACCTGTCATTTATGAAATTAAAAATACATATCAGATAATTTCCACGCATCAATAAAACATGAAAAAGAAAATGGACATCTACATACATACCACTAAAATTCCTATGTATTTACATATCTAACATCCAAATCTTTCATGTCACGTAAAATATACCATTACGAATAATAACATATGTGATTCCAATTAGCTCTCGTCTCCTAATATGTACTCATAAACCTTCATGTTCATCAAACTACTTACAAAAACATTAATAATTCAAAATTTGACTTCCCCCCTCTAATTTCTTCAAAGTAAACTAAGCTAAATCAATACATAATAATTTGTATTTCCTGCTCTAAATAAAAACAAGCGAAATCTCTCATATTCCCTGCTCTAAATGCAACCAACTGCCACATAATTGAAAAAATTACTTCTTCCGAAACAAATCAATCCTCAGGAGCTTATGAATATTTTTAAACTCATCTCATTTCGATGTGATATGAAAGATTTAAGCTATATGGATGTAAAATTAAAGTTTAGTTGTTACATATGTAAATACATTTGAATTGGGTGGGTTGCATGTAAATGTCCAAGTAACATCCTTGACCCAAAAATCATGAGTTCGTCATAAAGAAACATTCACTTAGCAAAAACGAAATTGGTCGACTTGTAGAATTTACATTTTACATTTATACTACTCAAATCTTTCGTATCACAACAAAAATACAACTCTTTTAACATTGAAAAAGCAAAATGCCTCTTTTCATTTATAGGAAAGGTGACAAATGTAAGAACTAAAGTTTATGTGTTTGATATGTAGATATATAGTAATTGAGTTATATATACTTGTAAAAATACATCTTTTCATAAATGAAAGTTTCCATTAGAAAACCTCTTGGCCATATTAGTTAACTATCTAGGAAAACCAAGCTTGGCACCTAACTTTTGATCAACAACAGTTCAAGACCAATGCTTGTAAAAATTATTAGTGAACAATGTATGTAAATAATTTATTGTGCTAATGAACACAAGCAAAAAAACACACACTCACACACAACCCATATATATGTACACACAACCCATATATAATGCCTCGATATTAAGAGCTCTTGATTGAAAGGTAAGGGTGCATTTGGGGCAGCATTTTGGCAGTGTTAAGTTTTTTTTTCTAAGAGTTTATGTTGTTTGTGGCAGCTTTGTGATGTTGTTCATAGAACCACCAACACAAAAATAAGTGTTTTTGGGATAAAGATCTTTATGTGAGGTCTGTCTTTCTTACATGCATTTTGACATATTCTTCTCGACTCTCCCCGCGTTAACCTTCCCACATTTTAGAACTCTCACTTCATTGCTTTGATTGTTGCTCTCCTTTCTGTTGTGTCTCTTTTTTAATGTATAAGAAAATAAACTTATAAGATTTTTCTATTCTTGTTCTCGTTCTCATTCAGGTTCAAATGCTTAAGGCTTGGTTCCTACCTCGCCTCCTCCTCTTCTTTTATTTAATTTTATGGTGCTTTTCCTAAGTGTCTTATTTTTGTTCAATGTAGGCTATGAAGCTTATGTTTTGCAAGTTTACGTTGAGTGATTTGTTCTCTTTGGGTCGTTGAGTACCTTTCGTTCTTAGGGTTTAACACGAGAAACTTCCATTTTTTTGATTTTATGCTAAGCAACATCATTACTTTGAGTTTATGCTGAAAATTTGGAATCAAGTTTGTTGATCTTTGGGCACCTAATGATAAGTTAGTCTTCTTTGTGTTTGGTATCATTTTATCTACCAGAGCTTGTGTTCTTCAAGCTTATGCTGAGAAGGTTATGCACTTGATGTTCATGCAAAGTGTCTTTTGTTGTTTGAGTTTACAATGAATGCCTATTGTGCTTCGGGGTTATATTGAGAGTTTCGTGTACTTCTAAGTTTATGACTGTCGAGAACCTTATAGTGTTCGGGTTTATGTTGTGTTTATGAGAAGAGCTTCATGTATGGATTGGGTGAATATGGTTAGTGTGAATTTTACATTTCATAAAAGAAGATTGTAAATTATAGTCAAACAGATTAATAGCTCTGGTTACTAATGAATTTTCTTTGAAGGGTAAAGCAATATCAATTTTTACACATGACTTGAGACGAGGATTGCATAGATACAAAATTTGCAAAATTTAATATTACTCTTTGAGATCCAATTGGAAAGTTTTTTTAGAAAGATGTATATACATATGCTTTATTTCTGTGTATTCATATATCAAGTTACAAAACTCTAGCATTACATGGAAAGCAAGTAAAAAACTGCAGCCAATCATACTAATGGCTTTGATTGCATTAAAGTATAAGACTTAAGTATTTATGTTATCGGGTTTTTTATGGTGTTCGCTTGCTACTCATTGATGGATGTCACCAAGGAAATATGTCATTTTAAGGGAAATGGCTGTGTATAATTTTAGCAAATTAGTCAAAATATTGGCAATGACCTTCACATTATAGAGTTATATACAACATCAATCTTCAAAGTATGACATTGAATATAAAAGTTTAGAGACAGAGCACATGTATGTTCCACATAAGGCTAAGGCTTATGAAAACAGAGTTGGTCAGCCAATAATGAATATCAAAGATGTTGAGGATCACCAAACTCAGGATGTTGAAGGTGTTGATATTATGGTTCAGCTAAGAGAACATATTTTGAATGTTTTAGTTGAGAAGTGCAATATCTATTGTTGGTTTTTTCTATTGTGTAATTTAAAATTTTACTTTTTCTTGAGAAACTTTTTCTTCTTTTCATTATGTGTTTTAGCAATGGTTCGTGAATTGGGTAGTTTTGTGGAATTCATAAGAAAATTAATAATTTTGTTGTGTTAAAATTGGTTTTTATGTTTTTTGTTTCTTGAGGTCTGTGATGAGTTGTATGACATAAAGGTTTCTTCTAGATGACCTTTCATACTGCCTTGTTTTTCAACATATACAAGTTTGGTAATAAACGCTTAAAGGTAACTTAGATCTCCATCTTTATAGGTCTTCCACTTTCTTGCAGTGGTTGATTATGCATTTCTTTATGTTGACTCTGAGCCCTTAGTTTTTTTACTTACTTTCCCGTATCACAAATATACTCCAATTTTTAAATTATAACTTTAATTATGTAATTTTGAGATTTAAACAAGATTATTTTAAGTATTAAACTTTGTATTCTTAGGAAATAAGAGCTCAAAGATATCTAATATCTTTTGTTATATGCCGCAACTGTGATATGTAATGCTTCATATTTACTTTAAGACGAGATGTTAACTATGAGAAAATATTCTATAAGTATCCCAGAAATAGAACACTTGACGATTGTAACTTTTTATATTGGTTGATGCTTATGAGGATCCATTTCAGATAGTGATCAAGTTTAGAGAGAAGCTTTGAAAAGAAAAAATTCTCCACAAGACTTCATCATTTGGACATAAAGAGTAAAATTGTTATAACATTAATTGTTGATATCGTAATTTTAATTGTTCAAGTTATTTTGTGTTACAAAATGTATTACTTTTAATGTTGTGTAATAATCTACCCTTGACTTTTTTTAAACTGCTAACATTTTTTTTTTCTTTTGTTTGAATTATTTCTGTGTGGACTTACAACTAACACATGTACATAAAAACATTATTGTTTTTTTCTCAAAAATAACCGCAACACAACAGATCATCCAAACATACATAGTGTTTGATCAACAACTATAACAACAACTTATCCTAAAAATAATTTTACAACCCTGAGTTCTTAACTAAGGCGACTAGAATGATTAAATGTTGGAGATTTTACATACATGCCACTGATTTTTTTGGTATTTACATATCTAAGTTTTTTGCAATTTTACACCCATAAATTTTATATGACATCAAAAATATAATTTCAAATTTAAAAAAGGCGAAATACAACTTTTTTGTGCATATAGGTAAGGTGACGCATGCACGGGTTCTCATATATATATATATATATATATATATATATATATAT